ATGCAGGCCCAAGTAAAAATGCCATAGGGCCTTCAGGTTGCGGTGACGCGACCTGGGGGCCCTATTCCAACCTCGGGTCCCGTGAGGGGCCTGTGTGTAGGCTTTCAGCATGTAACACGCCCCCCTCCTTATGAAGACGAGCCGGGGTGCGGGCGAAGCTGCCGATCCGATGGCGGAATGTAGCGAGGATATAGATATTATATCTATGTGTATTCTCCATTGTATAATATTTTATGACTTAATTTCAGTAAGTCACCTTGATGACTTTTTTTTTTATTCAAATGTACAAATAAACATACAATAAATTAAGTATAAAGAAATAAGAGAATATTAAGTATAAAGAAATAAGAAAATAAAAAAGATGAATTAACATTATTCTATTTATATTTATATTCTTTAATAGGAGCTGGAGTGCTCTGTGTAGTCTTCCCTTTGCTAAGATAGCGTGAGAGAGTTGTGGCCTGCAGTTCCGAACGCGTCAGCCAACGGTCAGCCTTGTGGCTGCAGTAGGAAAAGTGAAGTAGAAACTCTGTTTCTTTGTTGCCATGGCGCCGGTCGGTGATGATGTAGTCGGCCTCCTGAAATCCGTCCATGGAAGGAGGGTCTTGCGTACGTCGACCGGGAAACTCGTCGGACTCCGCTGAAACAAAAGGAGCGAGTTTGGAACAGTGGAACACCGTGTGGACGGGCAAGTGAGGTGGCACCGCGATGCGGAATGAGGGCCCCTCGGGATCATCACCAGCTGCAGAGAGAATGCGCCAAGGCCCCATCCACTTGGGAAGGAGCTTGCGAGAGATGTCTTGCTCAAGGCTGAACTCCGCTGCGGAGACCCAAACCAGATCGTCGGCGCGGAACGAGCAAGGAAGGCGATTGCGGTTGGCTTGACGGCTCATCCGTATTTGCGTCTTCGACATCTAATCCCGTGCCTTGACAAGAATCTCTTGCATGCGACGAAGGAACGCAAGATGGTCGTCGCTCTCGGCTGTGCGCGGCAAAGTAGCGTCCAGCAGCGATGAGATGGGTGAACCATGCTCAAACTCGAACGGCGACATCCCGATAGCCGGGTGGATCGATGAGTTGTAAGCCAACTCAACGTCTGGCAAGCGTTCAACCCAATCAACCTGGTCGGGACGGATGAGAGTGCGGAGAAGGACTTGAGCGGTCTGATGCGCCCTTTCCGTTTGACCATCGGTTTGCGGGTGGCGAGCCGAACTCGGCTTCAAGGATGAGCCCCATCGCTTGACGAGGGCGACCCAAAAGTCGGAGAGAAAGCGAGTGTCCCGGTCGCAAACGATCTCCTTGGGGTAGCCCTTGGAGCGAATCCAAACGGTGTATAAGACCTCGGCTAACTCCGGTGCCTTTGCGTGATAGCGGCAAGGCAAAAACATGGCGTACTTGGTGAGGCGGTCGACGACCGTGAGGATCCCATCAACGCCGGTCTTGTGCTTCGGGAAGGGGCCGGTGATATCCATAGCAATTGCTTCCCGTCGCCCAAGGGGCACTGGTAATGGGTGTAGCTCGCCGAACGGACGATGGTTGTGTGACTTGTAACGCCGACAGACTTCGCACGACTCACAATAGCGGGTGGCGTCCTTGAGAAGGTCGGGCCAATAGAACCGCTGGCGAAGTCGGCCAAGTGTACGGTTGACACCAAAATGTCCGGAGGCGGGCGCATCGTGAAACTCGCCAAGAAGCCGTGTGTGCAAGTGTGAATCATTCGGCACACAAAGAAGATCCTTACCCCGTGAATGCACAAGTAAGTAGCCCTCTTGGATCCGATAATGCGAAGGCACTGGATTCGGAGAGGAGCAATTCGCGTACTTGTCGCGAAAGTGGGGGTCGGCTTGATAGCCGCGGATGAAGCTCTCCCGCAAGTCGTCGTCGATCTCGAAGGTAGAGTAGACTGCGGGACAAAGATCCGGTCGCCGTGAGAGGGCGTCCGCAAAACGGTTTGACTTCTCGGGAATGTGATCGGGGAAAAAGTCAAACTGGTCGATGAAAGCCATCCAACGGGCAATGGTACTGTTAATCGTGTCTTGCGACTTGTAGAATACCAACGGATTGTCATCCGTTACCCATCGGAATGCTTTCCGACCAAGGAGGAAATGTCGCCAACGCTTGAGGGCGTGGACGAAGGCAAGAAGCTCCTTCTTCCGTGCGTCGTCGAT